TAATACATATAATATGTATGTGTATATATATTTTACAAGTCTTATTTTTGAAGTTTTTATGAGTCCCTTTTAGTTTATTTGGCGTATTTATTGAGTAAATAAATAAATAAAATAATTAAATATAATAAATAAAATAAATTTTATTGATTTTTTCACAAAGCAGGTGACGATTGAACGTGCATTTTCCATGCTGAACTTTGGAAAACATATTTCAAGTAAAGCTGAATCCGAACTTCCTCGAAGCTGCTATAGACAATCTGCCACTCTTTCAACACCCAAATGAGGAACAAGATTAATTGTTTATTGCAATTAAAATTTTTTTTAAATAATCAAATTTAAATACATAAACGTAAAAATCTTGCTTTCTATTTTCGAATTCTTGAAAAACAACCTTTTTTCTAGCAGCCATAAAGTAAAATGGAAATACAACAAGTACCAAAAAGATATAAAAAACCTAAATTAGTTACACAAAAAACCTTGATATTTCTGCATTTTACAAAAGACAAGTTACTTGGTTTTGTCGTATCACAGGATATACTCATGTCCGCTCCGTTGCTTCTGCTTTCACACTTTTCATCATGCAAACATCAGCAAAATTCATTTGTTGAGAAAGCGTCGAGTTTGTACTGAAAAGCAAACGATCGTTTGCTTCCCAGCATGTTACGTGTTGCTGCTGTGGCTATTCGTATTTTTTCAAATATGACAGCAGAAGCAACTGACGAGCTGCTTCTCACTTCTTATCGTGCTGCTAAACAAACGATCGTTCGCCTCTCAGCTCTTCTCGTGCTACTGCTGTGGCTGTTCGTTTTTGTTGAAGACAAGGCAAAAGCAAGAATATTGCCTTTGAAGCAAGACAACTTCAGAAGCAGAGCATTAGCATATTTTCGTTGCTTTTGCTAATATTGCTTAAGTCCTGTATGCAGCTCTCAAGAAAAGCAAAAACTCCATATAAAATGCCGTAGAAGGAATGGCTAAGAAATTTTCTTGAGTCAAATTTCCTTAAGGCAGTACGCAGTTCTTAAGGAATTTACTACGCTTTCTACTACGGTTTTCTAAAGTTTTTTGTGAAAAAAGAGCAGAAGGCAACCCAGGTTTGCAACAGCAATATATGCCCGTTCCATTATTTCTTGAGGACAGAGTGAGGCAACAGGCTGTGAAGTATCAAAAATGTCAAAATTCCTTGGACACACACACGAAATTTTTTGCAATTTTTTCTTGACCGTTTTCTTAAGAGCTGCATACAGGCCTTTAAGCATTTCAAACCCTGTTGTCAACCATTTGTAGTACGGCGTTATGGAACATTATACTTTGTGCGTATGCAATGCAATTGACGTTTTGGAAGTCAGCCATACTTAACTGAATCTCTATCTCCATCTAGGGACATATTGGTATATTTCCTTACTTTTATGCCACGTACCGAATTTCTTTGATTTAAGTACAAAAAAATTTTACATGTACGTTTTTTCAGATGTGCAAGGCCATGTTCTAGAAATGGTTCTTTCGGAATACCAGCCAAATGAATGGCGTCTTTTCATAGACAGTTCTAAACGAAGCCTTTTGGGTGTTCTTTTACACAATGGTAACAAATATGGTTCGGCAGCCGCTGTGGTGTAATTTTTAGCAGTGCGCGCTACCATTCCGGGGTCTGGGTTCAGGCCCCATTCAACAAACCACAAAAAATAAAAAATAAACAAAAAAGTTGTCTTCTAATAGCGGTCGCCCCTCGGCAGCCAATACATAGCAAACCTCCGAGTGTATTTCTGCCATGAAAACCAGCTTCTCACAATCTACAATCGCCGATCGGAGTCGGCGTAAAACTGTAGGTACCTCCTTTTTGTGTGACAACATCAAAGCGATCGCCACTAATCGGATAGGCTCGGCCAAACACTAAAATATTGTGTAAACAACGACCAATCTATTATTATTAACAATTACGGTCCAGTTCCCATTTTTCATTCAACAAAGTTAAAAGAAAATTATCAAAATATTTTACTTTTACAAAATCAAATATAATGAACACCAATGGAGGATTTGTGTTGATCTAAGAATGATTAATTTCGTATTAGGACAGCTAAGTGGATACACCAAATACGCATGCTTGTACTGTCTATGGGACAGTCGCGCAAAGCATAAACAGTGGGGCAAAAAAAGGAGTTTGGCCCGTACGTTAGACGATGGAGAACATGGTAAATGCATTTTTGGATTGCAGAGATCAAATTATATTCAAGCTATAACACTTATGAAGTGCATTTTTCTAGAAATCATTCCGAAAAAGTCGACACACAGTGCTTACCTTCCATATAGAAGTGGGCAAAAATAGCATTATGGACGGCTTTAAATGAAAATTCGCTTCTTAGTAAAATTTTTGGATAACTTTCATACTTTCTCTGTAAATGCAGTTTGAAGTTCACAGTTTTGGTTCTTGTGTCATTTAGATAGATATGTAGATATACTTCGTTCTATTTTCAAAAGTGAGATGTCAAATGACAGGGCTTGGCCTGCAGATGTGCAATAAAGTTTTTGTTTTTGAAAAGGATTACCACGTGTTACAAATTTTATCAAAATTATTTAATAAGTTAAGTGAATTAGATATTACAATATGGGTATCAATTGAAATGGTTTTAAAAATACTTTACTTCTAAACGACACGTATAAGGGTTGCCACCTGTTTAAAAAATCAAATTCACTTTAATTAAGGGAGTAAGGTAACTGAAATATGTATATCAATATGGGTATCAGACAAAGGAAAAAATTGAACATATGGGTTTTCTGAAATACCGCAGGGACACCCTGGGTTTAATTTTATTCCAAAATTTGTATTCCTGTAGTTCTCTACTATCTATATGAAAATAAAAAACGTCAAACCGACATTTTCTTCAAAGAATGTATTTTTGAAATTTGTTTCCGTGAAGAGCTTATGGGCAAATCTAAAAAATAGGTACAGTCTCACGATGCAGCGAAACAAAGGTGGCGCCTTCCGCGGACCGCTAGTCCTCTCTTTCTCGATTTGACAGCATCCACCCTTTCGCTAACGTCACATTATTATTTTTTCGCACTAGTGATGAATACTAAATTTTCATATTGTACCTAAAAGTAGATACACGTACCTAAACAGTAAACAAGCATTTTTATGTGCATACATTTTTGGTAGTTGGTGGATTACATCTTCCTTTTGTACCATAACAATTTTTCTACTTACATGAAACAATATTTTACTACGTTCCAAATGTACCTAAAATAATGTGCTTGTACCTAATGTACGTTCAAATTTAAGAAGCTGAAGAGTAGGTACAATTCAACCTAGTTTTACATCACTATCTCGCACCACTTGTTCGCTTCTTCCTCTTCTTCTTCAAAATTATTCTTTGCACTCTCATTCTCAAAATAATGGGACGTCACACCCAGTTGCTCTCAGTTCGATTGGCGCAATCTTGTATTCTATCATTCTTGGTACAGTCTCCAAAAAAAAAAATATTTAAATTTGTGAGCACACCTATGTTTTATATATCATTTTATTCGTATTCTCTTAATAAATCGATTAATATAAGTGTAATTCATTTACATCAAGTGCTAAGCTGGGTTCAAATTACGTTCTTCAAGTTGTAAATTCTGAGCAAAGATTTTGAAAGTTGAATTCACTTGATTGGGACGTTCTAAATTTAATCGCATCCCCCGCTTTACCAGATTGGCTCCGGTTTTCGAGATAACGATACTTGAATATATGATTAAATTTTAACTATTTTATAAGTAACTCCCTCAGTTTTGAAGTTATTTTACAAAAATTTTGCACATAACAGTTTTTTAATATTACCTTAATTATTCCTTAAAATTATCGAAATAGGTTCACATTAACATATAGCTCCAATACAACTGATATCTCAGATATGTGTTTTTGCGCTATAACTCTAACTTCATATCTGAATAATAAATTGTATGCGTGCTATATGTTAAAGTGAACCTATACTAAATTTTTACTTGCTTAATTGGAGGAGTTATAACGCAAAACAACGTCTCTGGACAATCAGTTGTATGGAAGCTAGATTTTTGAGTGAACCGATTTCGATGATTTTATGAGATAGTGAAGGAAAGGAAGCGTGTGCAAAATTTTAGTAAAATATCTTCAGAACTAAGGGAGTTTTTTTTATAAAATAGTTCAAATTTAAGCAAAGTTTCAAGTGCCGCTATCTCCAAAAGTAAAGACAATCGTGCAAAACTGGGGACGCCATTGAATTTAGAAGGCTCCAATTAAGTAAGAGCAACTATCAGAACCTTCGTCGAAAAAAGTTTGATTTGATACCACGCTCGAAATATTCTGACTAAAAGAAGGAGCATCACTTAAAGTAGTAAATCAAGGTTTTTACACACTTCTAGCGACAAATTTTTTGAAGCGTTTTACAGGTATATGTAATTTTATAAGGACTAGCAGTTTTAGAAAGATTTAGATCGTTTCGATGTATTTCCCAAATGTGCCTTCAATTAAGGTGTTTTCGGAATAAAAATTACGCTGAAGATCGCAAAATATTTTATCTTTAAAAGTTAGTTTATTCTGAAAGCACACCTCTTGCTAAGCTATCAAATTATTCGACATTCTTTGTAGAATACAATACATATTTAAAAATTTTGAAAATTGTGAAATGTGGAGTTACGGACTTTGAGTTACTTGCCATTTGGTTATTTTTTAATGCACACTTTTCTTACCTACTACATATGAAGTGTAAACAGAAGTGCTAAATGCCCATTTAATTTCAAATCAGAATATTGTGTGCTTTAAAAGTTATGACATAATTGATTTTGCCCGTCTTAAAAGTTACATAAAACATTCACTTGTTTTCATTATTTTTTTAAATTTAAACACCTATAATTCAAAAGTTATGCAGAAAATTGATTCAATTTTTTTTGAGGCTTCAAGTATACGTCAATTAATTATATCCAAAAGCAACCAGCTTGACTTAGTAAACAACAGTGAAAATAAAGCTAAACAACACAAAGGTTACCTGTTTTCTTAGATTTGCCCTTATGCATGGATATGCTCTTATTAAAATTCTTAGTATAAAATTTGTCGAATTAAGTGGCTTCGTGGTGGCATATAATTTATTTTATAGGGAAATTTCTGTTTAATACTTTTTAGTGGATAAATTGCCTTTACAAAAATATCAAACACATTCAAATTGCATATCACGAGTTTTTAGAGTTTTGCCCACTTAGGCGGCACTGTGCGACGTGGTTAAATGTGTTACTTCTATGAACGGCAAATATAATTGTTCGGTGGAATCTTGTGCATTTTTTGCATCAAGCATAAGTGAAGTGTAACTATTCACATATTTTAAAGCATTTTGATTGCTGTGTAAAGGTGAATTGTCCAATACTTTCGAGTTTGAAACCATTTACTAATGCATGTATTTTTCTTTTATCGTTGTGAAGCATAAACAAATAATTGCACAAAAAAAGTCGATCTTCGAAAAATGGTGGCCCATTCACAAATTTTTACTCACTATTTTATGCACCAAGTTCTCTGTTGGTATGAATTGGTGTAGTTCTCAATTCTCTCATTGAGCTATTAAACTAATTTGTTATACCGAAAAAGACGAGCTAAAGTACGGACATGTTTTTTACAGCTCTGCTATTTTTAGCTTTTTTCTGCGTTTAAATTGAATTTTATACATATATATTAATGTGGTAAAAATCATATAATGAGACATTGACTCTTGGTGACATTAATTAGATTGAATTGCTTTCGGCATTTAATAATAATAATAATATTAGCAATGCCTTGCTTTTGTAAACAAAAGGTTGATCGCGCTAAACCAAAAGTGCAATGCACAAACTGCAACGAGTTTTTTCATTTGCTTTGTGTTGGCTTGAAACCAGCCGATGTTGATTAGTTGAACTCGTCAAATAGTCCATTCTATTGTAAAGTGTGTATGGATGTGCGTCGTGCATCTCTTCGCTCACTCCCGCCTTCCGTTGCTTTGGATGAAGTTGTTGTTGCTGAACCTGCGGTTAATGCGAACTCTGAGGTAAATATAAACACACCTTTACACTCCCAAATAAACAAATCGAACTCTAACCCGAATGAGAACAATAATATGCTACAATTAGCATTGAATACGGTTGTGCAAGAAATCGCCGCTCTTAGAACAGAGAATGCGCTCGTTATATATCTAATTAACTCTTTGCATGAGGACAAAATGCAATTAATGCAAAAATGTGATGCCCTACATGCCGATGTTCGCTCAATGCAAGCTAAACTAAATTGCAAAGAGGCTGACATTTCAACGCTAACATTGGAAAACAATTGTTTGTAAATCTAAGAATCTCAACCCATCTGGCGCCAACGGTGTAAGGGAGAGTAATGAAGCGAATAATTGTTCGGCTAAAAGTGCATTGTCATCTAACACGTATGCTCTCAACTCTTCTCGCGTCAACGGTGTAAGTGAGAGTAATGAAACGAATAATTGTTCGGCTAAAAGTACATTGTCGTCTAATAGCCCTGACAGACATATGGTTTATGTACTATACTAGCATTCTATACTACACGTCTGTCGTTGTAAACCACAATTATACCATCGTACAAAGTGGTTTGAAGCTGGTTCCTATACTACGAAAATGAACGTGGTATAAAGCGAGTATACCATGAAACACAGCCAGAGAGTAGAAAGAATTTCACCAAAAATGTGTGGTGAAAACAAACAGAGACAGTGAACTGATGCATGTATGTGTGCCATTTTGCTCGCGCTGGTCCAACAGTCGCAATGGACGAGTGATCAGAGCGCTAGAGTGTCACTTGAGAGATCCGAGATCGAGTCTTCGCGTAGGAGATTTTTTTCTTTATTATTTAATTTTTTTTTTGTTCTTTTATTTTATTTATTGTTAAATAAAAATCAGCAGCTAATGCGCTAGAAATGTTGGTGGTTTTATTTTCATCAATAAAGAATAATAATAATAATAACAATAATAATAATAATAATAATAATGATAATAATAATAATAATAATAATAATAATAATTATTATTATTATTAATAATAATAATGGTAAGGGCTAAGCTCAGGACCTTACCGGGATCGTGAACGGCCTACTCCGGTAGGTTAGCTGCGAATAACCAATAAGCAGTCCCAGACCAAGAGCGGCAGGAGACGAAGGCCTGATTTAAAAGATCAGAAATGCTTGATGAATCTCCTGTGTCCGGGCGAACAGATGCCGCCTCCCAAAAAGCATCCTAGGATTGAGACAAGTTAGATCCTGTTCATGGCATACTGGAGCATGTATACGATTAGCTCGATATTGGGCTGGCGAGAGCAGTATTCCGCCACTTTAGTATGTGAGGGTGATACCTCACAGAAATGGCTGGTGGGCTAATGCTGCTATCGCCTCCGTCTCGTTAAAACCCTAGCAGGTCTTCAAATACGTTCAATACACGTCGCCATTTAGTTGGCCGCACAGGTCCAGTTGAGATTTACTCCTGGTTTTGCGCTGTCTTGGCTCTGAACACAATATCCCATAAGGACTTGTGTCAACCCTCGCGATGGCCTGCTCCTTTGAGAGAAGGGAACTTCGGGACACTTAAAAGCGACTGTGCTACGTGTGGAGATAGCGGCTTGAAGAGACCCAATTGATTGGAAATGAATAAAATAAAACAAACAAATGAAACCAACATTGATGTTATGGCGGAAGAATGCAGCGCATTCAGGAAGAGCAGTAGAGTTGTGCGCTCCCCGCCACAAACTCCTCTGCAGGCAAATGCCGGCACCACGAGCACGGAGAAAGCCGCCG